ATCGCCGAAAAGAAAAGAGGATTTATGCAAACTCTTGGTTGTCTGTGGAATGGTTGTGTGAAGATGTGAAGACAAGAGTCCTAGATCGGAATGTTAAAGAGACTTTGCATATTGCATGAGCTTATAAGGAGTTTGGCAACTCCTCCATTATCAATTGGTTTTGGGATGGATCCTCAACTTCTTTCATGATATCAGATAGGATTTGTTTATGTTTGAAGCTCAACGACCAAACGTGCTCCGCATCACCTAATAAGAGCTTTCGATTCCAAAGTCATAAGAGAAATCAGAATGTAACATATGTACATAAACATTTTTAATTACGTCCTTCATTTTAAGCCTCTAGGAATTGAGTACTGATCATACCAAAACAAAACTTAATTACGTCGCTGAGAGTCTGACATCATTAGCTGGTGTTTATTGTTTAGCCAACAAGGAATCAGTTTTGGATTCTATGTCTCTGTTTTTTTAGTGGACCGAAAAAAACCTCTTCATGCTGCCAGTCTACAAACAACATGCAAGCAATTCAAATCCCCGGCGATATCAACGACACCAATTTGTTAATTTGGTCATAGGGTAGAACAACACAAAAATTAAAATAAAAAATTGAAAAAAAAAAAAGTCTCTTTTATTAATTATGTCATATCCTATTAAATACAGAGAGTTTGGGTCCAACAGACTCTTGCTACAGAAAGTCTGCCTCTTCCCTTCCCCAGTTCACACGGCCTTATCTCCTTAGTCCTTATCTTATTTCTATAAATTCATTCAATCTGACCCTTGTATAATACAATTTAAAACAAATAGGAGAAATGGCCAGAGTTAAAGCCCTCTTCTTCCTAGCCGTCCTCCTCTGCTCTACTTTAGTCTATGCAGCCAGACCAGAACCAGCTTTTTCTGCAGCCACTTCTGCAAAAACCCAATTTGAGGTTTGTGTAATTTTCATGTTTTTAAAGTTTACTAGTGCATTTTCATTATAGGGTTATGAGTTTGATATGTGGGTTTTTGTTTTTTGGGTGTTGAGTAGGGTGTTGAAACAGAGGTTGATGAGGTGGTGAATGAGAGCTGTGAAGGAGCTGAGGAGGAGGAGTGCTTAATGAGAAGGACTCTGGCAGCTCATGTGGATTACATCTATACACAGAAGCATAATCCTTGAACTTGGTTTGTTTTGTTAACAATATCTATTTGTGATTATGTAATACTTGTAAGCAATATCAAGTTTCCCCTGTGTTTTTTTATTTTTTATTTTCACTTTTTTCTTCAGATTGTCTAGCAATGTGAGACTGTGAATTTGAACCATTGATCAATTTCAATGCATGGTCCAAATGTACAGTTTCACAAAGTATTTATCTTAGCAAGAGAAAGCATAATATGAGAGTAAGATAGTGGAGATCAAGAACACAGTTTATATATACAACTGTCATTATTAATCTCTCTTTACTACTGCATTTATAGTTCATTCCTACAGAAGAACTGCATGGTAGTAAAAGAACGATGATCAAACGGGAGAGACATATGTACACAGTTTTCTTGGTTCATAATGTTGAATTCTTGATTTAATTATAAATAAAGCAAAATACCACAGTTCATGAAACCCTGCTCTTGTTCTTATACTAAATATCCTGTAATCTATAAAGTTGGACATCACGTTCTAAGGTCATTTTTTCAGTTTGTTTTCTGGTCTGTATGGCAAAGAAAAAAAATGGAAGAAAATCATACCAAATTTTTATCTTTTGGAGAGGAATGCGATGGATTGCATTCATAATGCAGGGTTAAAGGCCGTCAGTCACAAAGATCAATACAACTAACCACAAAAGGGTTTTTACAAATACAAAACAAAGTAATCACAAGGGGTTAATTCAAATACGAAGGCTCTACCAGCAACATGTAGCAAATACAAATACAGACTAGAAACACGCAACAAGTATATAGAAGCCGACATGACACCACGTCGTGACCAAGATAGCCAATCAGAGACCAAAACGTCCAAGCAACCACACAACGTAGCCAAGAGGAGGGGAAGGACTAGAGGGGATGAGCGAGGAGGAGAGGTGGAGAGGGGAGGGGAGGTCTGGGAGGGTAAGGAGGGGAGGGAAGGGGAGGAGGAGAAGGATGGAAGCCACCAACCAACATGGGGAATGGCGGCTGAAACTTTTCTCTTTTAAAATCACACCAAATTTAAAACACCATGTAATACTTTTACCAGGCCGAACAATATTACAGATTGTTCCAACTTACATAAGCTTAACATTTTCCCTTAAAAGACAATAATTAGAGTCAGTTTAAACCCGTAGATATTAAATGTGACTTTCCATCTGTTGATCTTGATTTCTCAGAAGCTACCCGCTGCTTTCAACTGCCACTTTTTCTTTATGATTTTAATTAAGAGTTACTTAGGAAGTAAATAAATGGAGTGACAATGAGTGCGAACAACTTGTAAATTGAATGCTGGCTTGTCTGCCTTCTCTCCATCCACCTGTAAGATATTGAATGTGAACATAAACTTTTTTCTTAAAGAGCCATAGTATTTTATTGATAAGAGGACTTAAGTAAGTACAAAGTAATTATGATGCTAAATATGAATAAATCTTCTCAAGTGACTAAATCCAATAACAAGTTGCATTAATCTGAAGAGAGTTACGCACAAATCACGAAGTGATTAAAATTCTTGATTCAGCAACCGAAAGCATGCCTACTCATACTTGCAATACAAATGTATCGTACGATAAATACGTATTGGAGGTTGAAAGCTCAAAAGAAATAGTCTGCTAAAGTGAAAATAAAGTCTCCCAAACCGAAAGTAATTTCGGTTGGGGTTCTTGCCTTTTAGTTTCCCCTTTCAAAAGATGAAAATTAAAGCAATAAAAGCCACAAGTAATTGCTCTCACCTAAAACGAAAAAGCCACAAAGTTGCTGAAGATGGTTAATGGTTGAGTAACAAAAGCTTAAGTAATTGTAATAAGTATAGCGTGAATAAGTGATAGGAAAACATCCAACACAAAAGTTTCAAGCTTTTAGGTGAAAGTACTTATCTCATAAATGCATACACTAGATCCTACTCTTGTCTTGACAATTTTGGTTTACTAATATAAGTTTAAGGATGATTTTTTTTTTAATTGTACAATTAGATTTTAAACAAGATTAAACAACTTAGATTAGTAACTAAGGATTTTCAAGACAAAGAGATAATCCAAACAAAGTGTATGTTAAGTAAGCTTTTTTTTTTCTCCTTTGAAATCCCCTAAATAAACATCTACTTAGTCTACAAATGATATGTGATAATTGTTGGAACTTTTCTTAAACAGTTTAAAGATGGGGTAGTAGGCAACTAGGCAACTAGGCATGAAAATAAGCAAGAAACAAGTGGAGCAAGATGCCTTGAGAAAGTTGTGAAGCGTGCATGGTTGGGGGGATTAAGATTCGAAAAAATCTAAGTAGTTGGCATATATAAAACCAGTGAAGCTATATAAAACCAGAGGAGAATGAAGGTTTTCTTGGGAGTTGTAGTGGTCCTGCTGCTCTCCCACTTACGCAGGGCCACTCTAACTTTTGACTTATGACCATTCACGCTTCAGTTCAGCATATATGCTCACATTCTATGGTCCTTGCATTGCATCAGTTGAACTCTATTGGTAACTCGCATGGCTGCTAATTAAGTAAATTAGCATGCAAAGTATGTATAATTGCGATCAAACAACAAATTATGGAAAATCTGTATCTCACACCATGCGACCCGAACATCCTCACAAAAGCTTTTAACAACACTGAGCCATAAAATATTGAAATAAAATTAGAAAATGTAGATATGTCGTGCCGTAATTAAAAATTGCTAACAACCAGGCTAGCAGTTTGAATTATATAGGTTGGGTACAGCCTAAATTAGAATGTGAAAAGCTTATTAACCTTTTACCAACGCTTCTTCTTCTAGTCAACTAATGTAATTGCAAGTTGCCAATGCGCGTGAGCCCAACTGGTATACAAGTTTGGTACACTCCAACCAAAGTTCTCTCCCACTGAATATACTCACCTTTTACTGTGGGTAGAGGTACTGTTGCTACTGCTGCTGCTGCCATAAGTAAACAAAAATACCCACTTTCATCATTGTTTTTGAACCTTGTGTTGGAAAATTACTAACCATTAATTAAGTTTCCAGCTTCATTTCCACAACAATTTATATAGAGAGAACTTTCTGCATGAGGACAAGCTGTGCAGTTCTTGGGAAAATATTGAAAAAACTATATTGTTGGTCCCTCCCCCAAGTAATAAATATATATTGTTGGCCTGCTAAGAGCAAGGCAGATCTACACCTCCAGTCCAATCCTGATTTTTGAATATAGGCTTAGAGGTGCAA